CCCTTAAATACGCCTCTAAAAACCTCATTAACTGTATTGAAAGTAGTGCTACGATGATTTATGATTTTTTAGAGGCAGAAGCATATAAAAAAAAATTAAAAGGGACAATTAAAGTTTTGTTCAAAAACTCAATAAATTGGGAGTTTCCCGATGAATGTCCAGAACATAAAGATATGAATATAGATTACTTATTTAATAGCGTATTTCACATTTGTATGAAGAGATTTTGTATTTTGAAAAATCGGCAATTTGCAGAAGAGTACTCAGCATCTGCTCTTAAAAGAAAAATTGATACCCTGCAGAATAAATAAGATATTACATGGAACTACTTTTTCTGTATGTACAGTCATAATCACTTCAGTGGTGACATTATATAAGGAGATAAAAGGAGAGGGAGGATTTGTCCTCTCGAGAGAGAGGCTGCCAAGGAGTGACTAGCGCTGATGAGGCTACGGATGTGTGTAAAAGTGTACCCGTAGTCCTGCCGATAAGTGGTGAAGATGAAACATCTGAGAGTTTTAGTCGGAGTGGGTCAGATATTCCTTGCTTCCGCGAGGCAGGTAGGATTTAAATTTAAGTTTTTTTTTAATATTTGCCATATAGAGCCACTTTTGGATTTCGAATATAGTATTTTCGAAACTATCACTTTACTGGTGCGAATCATACCTTACAGTCTTTTTATCGTTTAATGTCGGATAGTTTATTAGTCACCCTACAAACAATCGTATTGCTATGCAACTAACTTTTAAGTTTACTGTGGGATATGGATAACACATACATTTGTATTTTTTATAGAATTTAGCAAGTAAATGCTGTGACACTTAGACATCTACCTGTATTATCGAAAAATAATAATAACTACTTAACTATTAAATCGATATTTAGTTAAGAGCTGTTCAGAACTCTTTACATGCATAAAGTTAAAAATTAGTTAATTACGTATATATCCATGTAACATCTTATTTATTCTGCAGGATATCAGTTTTTCTTTGAAGAGCAGTTTGCAAAAGAGGGGGATATTTTACATTTTAATATTTCATTTACGGAATCATTTTTGCTCAATACTTTGAGAAATGCTTCATTCTTTAGATGCTTTACAGTTTTTTGAAGCCTGTTAATTTTTCTCAGATGATATTTCATTTTTATCAACATATCTTTATCCTTTTTGTTTTTCGTGGATGGATTTGCAGCAGGTAGTGCTAATTAATGACATGAAAATGTTGACTTATTAGTTTTTAATGCAGTCAATAACAATAACATAACGAAAATAATTTCTACAAATGTAATATTATTGGTGGCATCTATAATATAATCAGGTTATTGGAGTTTAGACATAATATTGCAAAGCTATTGCCTTGTTTGTAGAATGTGAAGGTAAATAATGTTTTCTTGTTAGAAAAAAGTGTTTATATTAGATTGTCTAATCTTTTTTATATAAAACCAATGTACCTTTACTTTCCATTTTGCTGAAATGTCATGTTACATATGCCATGTTAAAAATTAGTTAATTACTCCGTCACTTACGTCCATTAATGTACCAACGGTTTTTCTATGTACCAATGTAGACAAGTATGTAATGTAAATAAAAATTATGTATTTCAAAAACCACTTTTATTTGAAAAATAGTTCCTTTTTTATATTAAAATGATTGCTAATCGTTTCAAAAGTGGTTTATAAATGTAAAGTACCATAATTTACAAATAACTTTGTGCTTTTGTTTTCGTTTTAATTTAGCAATATCATTGAAACGAAAAACTACAAGCTATATCTATCTATATGGTATTTTACATTCTTAAGCCATTTTTGAAACGAAACAACCAAGACGACAACTAAAAAAAAATTACGTGTCAAAATTCCCGCGCAAAAAGTTTTAGGGGGCACGACAGAGATGGCGTGCGTTATGGGTGCCATTTTCTTTGTTTGAAGTTGACATTCTTCCCGCCTAAGGGTATTAGTGTTCTGTGGTAGTGTTAGTGTTGCCAATTTAGCGACTTTGTCCCTAGAAATGACGACTTTTGCTTAAGTCTTAGCGACTAAAAAAAAGTTTTGACGACAAAAATAGTTTAGCGACTTATCTAGCGACTTTTGTAGTAGGTATAAATTAAATCAGTTCTAGAGTCATTATTGGATAAATTTTTAGTCAACTCGATACAGTGCCAAGAGATACAATAAGGAAAACAAACGCACCAAACTTTATTAAATTAAAGTCTCTTTAAAAAACATATTCAAATCAAAACATTTAAATTTTCTTTCAAATCTAAGTTTTACATTAACCTATTAGTACCTATATCAGATTTTAATTCATAAATACTATTTAATATCGCATGTAGCCGAGTTGGCAACACTGCTCAATAGCTCGATTCTTTCATTGGTTGGCGGTCGGTTACGGGCACACGGGGGAATCCCCGGACATTATGTTTTGTATACTGCACAATCGGTTTGACATTTTACATCGATCGACTCAGTTGATTGTTTCATAACATCCGGCTCGCTCTCTTTTGAATTAACTTTAAGTAATTATAAAGTGCTTAAACTTGTGTTGTGATACTTGTGATAGCTTAAATCATGGATTTACCTAATAAAAAAAAGCAATACGTTCAAAAATATCGAGATACGTGGGAAGCAGAATCTGAATTTAAGGGATGGCTGAAACCAGTTTTAGGAGACTCATCTAAAGCAAGATGTCAAATATGTGTCACAGAGTTTTATGCTAAATTGAGCGATATTAGAAAACATGCGAAAACTAATAAGCATAAACAAAAATTGGATTTTAAAAAAAACAGGCCACCTTACCCTTTAAAATTGCCCCGAAAACTTTAGTTAGAATATCAAGCAAAGCGGAAGGTGTCCTTTCTTTATTTATTGCAGAACATTGTTCAATTTTAGCTGTTGATCATTTAGGCGAACTGTGTAAAAAGGTGTTTGCCAGTAATGAGGGCGCGCAAAATATGCAATTACATCGTACAAAGTGTACTAACATAATAACTGAGGTATTGGCTCCATATTTTACACAATCATTGGTTGAAGATATAGGTGACCGAAAATATAGTGTACTTATTGATGAATCCACAGATGTTTCAGTTTTAAAAACACTGGGAATCGTTATACGGTATTATAGTGTAAAAAACCAAGCCATTATATCAGCATTTCTAAAGCTCGCTTTAGTAGAATCTGCTGATGCGAAAAATCTGACTGCTGTTCTTGTGAATTCCTTGAAAGATCTTAAAATCCCAATAGCGAATATGATAGGAATTGGTACAGATAATGCTTCTGTGATGGTGGGAGTAAATAATGGTCTCGTCGAAATACTCAAGAAAGAACATGGCTTAAAACATTTGATATTGATTCGCTGCGTTTGTCATTCTCTACAGCTTGCGGTTTCACACGCCTCCGTAAATACTTTACCTAGAAACATAGAGTTTCTTGTACGGGAAACCTACAATTGGTTCTCTATTTCGCCTAATAGACAAGAAGAATATAAAAAGGTTTATGAGACTAAAAATTATGGTAAACAGCCGCTAAAAATTTTGAAAGTCTGTGCAACCCGTTGGCTCTCAATTGAACCAGCTGTTTGTAGGATTCTGGAGCAGTGGGAAGAACTAAAGCTACATTTTTCATTTGCAATGGGTAATGATAATTGCTACACAGCTGATCTTTTGTACAGAATGTATTGTGATGACTCAAATCAACTTTACATGCTTTATCTTAAACAAACTTTAAAAGACGTACAAATAGCACTAAAAGCATTTGAAGGGGAAGACAATGATCCCACAAAACTATTAGATACTCTCGTCTTTCTCATGCAGTCACTTGGAAAAAACATAGTTTTTCCTACATTTGATTTGTTGACAACACCAGTTCCAAACGAATGTATGTACGCGAATCCGCACCTTGGCTATACGTTTGAACAGAAAATGTTGGAGTCAAGTTTGTCTCAAGAAAATAAAATTTATTTAAAAAAGAGATGCATCGATTTTAGTCTGAAACTCATAAAGCAGATTCAGCAAAGACTACCAAGCAATGTCACTATCCTGAAAAAAATGTCAATGTTAAATGTTGAAGAAACATTAAAAGTGAATAAAACTAATGCATTAGCCGATGTAGCCAAAGAATTAGGTTTTAGTAACAAGTTTATAGACGGTATGCTGCAAGAATGGCATAATATTAACTTTATAAAGTGGAACAACTCTACTAACACTGTTCGATATTGGATTGAGGTTTTGCAGTATAAAAATGCCGTAGGAGAAAATCCTTTTTCTTTGATTTCACAATTGGCAATCACTATTTTAATACTACCACACTCAAACGCTGAAGTCGAGAGAGTCTTCAGTTCTATGAATATAATAAAAACAAAACAACGCAATAGATTGTCGTTAAACACTATTAATGCGTTGATCCTGTTGAGAGATCAGTTAAAAAAACAAAATAAAAATTGTGCATCTTTTGAAATACCGTCGGAAGTGCTGCAGCTTATTGGAACGAACAAAAGCTATTCCTTTGCAACAACAAAAAACGTTGAACTGCAACATCCGCTTTTGAGCGACGTTCAACCCTCTACTTCTGCTGCGGCTGTATTAGATGAGCATGAGACTGAAGAATTATTTGACTTATTAAGTGACGATGATGAATATAACTGATTTAATATTTTTATTGTAATTTTGATTATTTTTATTTGTTTATTACAAATGCAAATGCACGTTTCCAAGTATTTTTAATTTATGTGATTGTTACAATGATTATACTTTTTTATATGTAGGTACCTATGTTCTACACGATGTGTATTTGAATTATAATCTATTTACTTATGTACCTACTTTTAATTTTTTTCACACTCCTATCCCAACCTTTCACACTGCATGCCGGTGGCCTCTTCTGCCTCTCTCATACAAAATCCTGCGTTCGCTTCTGGTGGAATTAGTTTTAGCGACTTTCTAGCGACTTTTGATGTTGAGTCTAGCGACTCGAACTTCTAGGGGTTGGCAACACTGGGTAGTGTTTCTATATAGTTTGTGCCGTCATCGTCATCCTCACCTCGTTAGTCGTCAATCAAATCAAAATAAATAATAATTGTGAAATTTCATTTATTCCTTTAAAAAATTGAATTAAAATAAGAAGCATAAATTAAAATGGTAAATTTATTTATTCTTCTTATAATCTTTTATATGTGTTGCTTAACTTAACTATCATATATTACTTATATTGTTACTAAGTAAAACTTTATAAACCATGTATAACTTTTGTTCCAGAGTGCTTTATTTAATTTTCAAAGCTTGTTATCTGTGATACTATTATTAATATGCACCTGCGCTTATTTAAGGTCCTTCTTTCCAAGTATTATGGATCGGAATAAAACTGGGTAAGTTATATGGTAGAATGCTAAGAACAAGTAACAGAAGGTAATAATATTATATGTAAACATATATCGCTAGAAACACTTATTATATTTTCATATACATTATATTTTCTTGCCGATAGACTTATCTAATTTTATCTTTACTTAGTAATTCCGAAATTTTAGTGTACTTATAGGTAATCTATGGTGTGTGATATATCATAACGTTAGCAGTTAGCTATGAAATTTATGAATATGAACCACAAAAGAAGTACAAGAACATGAACCTTAGTCTTTAGTTTAGTTAGTATATTAAACGGACTCATCTGCGTTTATAGAAAAAAATCTAAAGAATAACTCTTTCTTGATAATCGCTTTGGTAGAGTTTCAAATAATAAAGATTAATTTAATCTTATCTATACAAATAAATAAAATTGAAGTGTCTGTTTATAATGTCAAAATAACAGCTTTTTACTAAATGCATATGAAAGTATTTACAGTACTTATAACAATTTTTAAATATTTTGTCTGTTTCTCTATCTGTTTGTTCTGGACGCCACACACATTTTTTACCCTAAAATTACTATTCGTTTCAGTAGTGATGTACCTACTATGTAATATGCATATAATAAAACTCTTTTAAACTTAAGTTTGGCAATATTACGAAGAAGTACAGAAAATAAACTGATCAAAATAAGCAAAATACATTAATATGAATGTTATTTCACCTATCAATAAAGATTTAACACCAAAATGCTTTTAGAATGTGGAATACGGATTAAGTATTTTAGCGCAACTAGTTGACGCCTTAAAGTGTCATTTGCGACATCATTGAGTATTTTTAACAGATATTGGCTACATTTAAAGTGATGTAAGTGACTTTCCTTGAAATTTGCAGGAAGTCGATGGATGCAGGTGGCTCAGGACCGTGCTTTGTGGCATTCTTTGGGGGAGGCCTATGTTCAGCAGTGGACTTGTGAAGGGCTGTAATGATGAATGAATGATAATGAAGTGACTTTATTGATGTAATAATATACTTTATACAGGTTACTACATTAGCAAATAGCACCTCTAAAATGCCCCTAATTTGGACTTTTTGTAAAAGCAATTTTGATTCTATTATGATTTTCAGAAAAGCTGATTTTTGGATCTGCTTTGTTCTGAATAATGACTTTATATTTATTAGGGGCGCCTATATATTTATAAGTGCTACAGGTATAGGAAGTATATGGCCTATACTTGGAGCACAACTCCTTGCTATTAATATTTACCATATACAGGGTGTTAGTGAAATGCTCCCAAAACTGAAGACTGATGATAGTATTAACGATACCTTTGATGATGGGTTAGAAAGTAATTTGATCCTGAGGAAAAAAAATCATCTTTTTCACAGCGTTTTATTAACTTTATTCATGCTCCATCATGTTAGTACAGCTCAATGAAATGATAAATTCATAAAAAAATCATGAAAATACTTAAACACAGCAGTGAAACTTAAAATAAAATCGGCTGACAATAGGGTCAATATTCTCACGGACACCAAACTCTTATGCGAAACAATACCTACCCACTCTTCCCTTCCCTTTCACACAGGCGCTACTGCCGCCTGGCCGGCTCGTGTGGCCTCGTGCTGTGGAATTTGCACATGTCAGCTTGGCCAACAATTGGGGAATCCCCAAAATTTGGGGGGAATTTAAAGTTGGTTGGGGATTGGTATTATCCGGGGAAAATACAGGGATTTAGAAAATCAATAAAATTTAGAAAATAACCAGGGCCAAGTCAGAACCTTTTTTCAAGAAATCTAAATACTTATCTTAACATTTTGTTAGGTTACTTATGAATATCGAATAGCTCCCTTTTTTTTAATTATCTTAATTGCACCACATTTAATTTTCGGACTTCATTCGGCAATTTTGTGTATCATTTAATACTTTTCATTTCTTTATTTTTTAATTTTAACCTTTAAGTACCGACGTGCGGTCTGTGAGGCCCCAGCAGGCACTTGACTTGCTAGTTTACCCCTTTCCCCGCGTAATACCGGTCCCCGCTTTTAATTAGCTGCAAGGACAGTGCTCACGTTAACGTCAAAGCAGGAAGTGGTGACGTCTCATGCGCATTTGGTGAGTAATTACGATTTAAAATTCCGACGCGGCCTATCAGGCCGCACGTCGGTACTTACGTTACTGTTTTGTTTTATTTTTTGTTAACGTAAACTGTTATTTTTATAGATATTGTGAATTATGAATATACTAGAGACTTTAAGTTGTAAAAGAAATAGTTCTGCGATAGATTTACAACAATCAAAGAGATCTGAACCCCGTGAACTAAGGATGAGTTTGGCTAAAGTACTTGGTTCTGATAAGCCAGAGACATCTGAAGATGAAGCTGAGGAAGTCAAGACACGAAAGACTTGTCTCTCATGTCAACCTAAACTGAATAGAAAATCGATATATAGATGATATTTGAGCAAAAAAACACGTTTCTTTACAGTGCGCGAAACAAGTGTGCCTTGCCTGAGCTTAGATTTTAAGGTGTAGTTGGACTGTGGTCATTTTTTTCCAGCAGGTTTATGTTCCTATTTTTTTTTAAAATAAAAGTTATATAAGTCATAAGTAAGAAATACTATTTTTTGTTATTCTGAGAAGATTATTCTTTGTGTTTTGATTTTTTATATCTAATAGTCTAATTTTTCCCCAAAATTCAAGCGAAATATTATTGTAGTCTTATACTTAAAAATTTAATAAAGTTGAATTCCTTTTTATACTTATTTTTACTTAAAACCCTTTACTTTTCATCATAATGCAAAGACGGATATTGAAATCATCACTTTCTTTAAAAAACACTACATAATATACGCGGCCTCTCAGACCTCCCGTCGGTACTAACGTTACAAAAAATGCACGTCGGTACTTAAAGGATAAAGATAAAAAAATTTTAGTTAAAAAGTAAATCTTATAAAATTAGTTGAAAATTGTTTCATTTATTAAAATAAAATTGAGGGGAATTTGTGGGGAATCTGTTGAAGTTTTGTCCTTAAATTGGGGAATTTGACATGAATTTTCGGAGAATATGACAAATTGGTGTTGGCAACGCTGCCATGTTGCACCGAAATTGAGTTTGCCGGCGACATAAGAATTAGAGGCTGCAATCACTATAAAACTTGCAAGTAATTTTTAATAATTTTGACGTACCTTTTTTTAAATTCAAAGTATTGGTCGGATTAAATACGGAAAGCCAATTAAAATAAAGTATAAGTATTAGTTTTTACATTATTTCTGATAGATTAATTAACTGTCGATCATAATTGCAATTGATTTTAACTATTAAATTATTCAGCACCATTTCGTTTATATTTTCTAATACAAAATCAAAGATAACGATGAAATAGTGTTTATAATTGTGTAAGTGAGTACGGAGTGCCCAATTAGGTAAGTTTATTAATTTCAATATAATTCTTGTAGTAAAGAACAGCTTGTTGCGTCAGGGTACAATTGATTGTATAATTGTATTAAAAATGACAACCATAACTTCTAAATTCCATATGCAGACTAGTCGTAGGGATAACTAAACTTATATATAAAATAAACGTTGGCAATGTCGTAATGGTTTTACAGTCTGTGGTAGTGCTCAGTGCTTTAAGGACGAATGCCTCGTGCGCATTTGTTTTGGCGGGATTGATTATTAATTTTAGTTTTTGACAGTTCCGTGTTGACTATCATGTGCGCGTAAGCGACAGTTCAATCGTTTGTTTATTACATTCTTGTTGTTACGTTTTGTTTTAATAATGTCTAACGCGTAGGTACGTTTATAGTGTGTGTGAATACGGCAACGTGTTAATGTGCCTTGGAAAATCTCATAAGGCCACTTAGGATTTAGATCGGTAAGCTGTTTCATACCCAATTTTTTTTAAATAGCTTAGTACTGAACTCATCTGAACAGGTACAACTGAATACATCAGAAGAATAAAAACACCTACACGATGAATAGAAAAGCATGACTCTAACCTTGTTAACATTTCATTTAAGTAATTTTTTATTAATGGGGAATCGAACCAGGTATTTGGTTTATTAAACCTGTGAATAAAGTGGCAAGGTGGAGACAAGCACAGTGGCAAAATAGTAGGTTAAGTAGATAAGTTAGGTATTTAGACAAGTGGTGTAAATTATTAGGTATTGTGGTACCATCGCTTGCTGCGGTGCGCTAATTCGGCGCTGCGCGTACATTGACCCCCTAGTCATCATCATCATCATCATCATCATTACAGCCCTTCACAAGTCCACTGCTGAACATAAGCCTCCCCCAAGGAATGCCACAAAGCACCGTCCTGAGCCACCTGCATCCGTCGACTTCCTGCATATCTTACCAGGTCGTCACTCCATCTAGTGGGGGGACGCCCAACACTTCGCCTGCCGGTACGAGGCTGCCACTCGAGAACCTTTCTTCCCCATCGGTTGTCGGTTCTTCGAGCTATATGGCCGGCCCATTGCCACTTCAGCTTACTAATCCGTTGGGCTATGTCAGTCACTCTGGTTCTACTGCGGATATCCTCATTTCTGAGTTTATCACGCAGAGAAACTCCGAGCATTGCCCCCTCCATAGCTCGCTGAGCGACCTTGAGCTTCCTCATCCGGCCAGCAGTGAAGGACCACGTCTCAGTTCCGTATGTCATCACTGGCAACACTCACTGGTTGTACAGTCTCGTTTTCAAGTTTTGAGGTATACCTGACGAGAACATGTGCCGTAATTTCCCGAACGCTGACCAACCGAGTGGAATCCGTCGATCGACCTCTCGGTCGAAGTTGGAGTTACCTAGGCGGACTATTTGTCCCAGGTAAACATACTTATCAACAACTTCGAGCTTAGTGCTCCCAACAACTACCGGCATAGGTGTGACATGGAAATTAAACATGATCTTTATTTTGTCCATGTTCATCTTAAGACCTATCCGTTGGGAAGCACTATTGAGGTCATTGAGCATAGTGCTTAGGTCCTCCAGCGATTCTGCCATAAGGACTATATCGTCGGCAAATCGAAGGTGAGTGATGACAGAAGCTTGAAAACTTCTTCCAATGCCGCTGCAGTGATGAGTTTCGGGGATATGACGTCACCCTGTCTTACACCTCTCTGCAATTGGATAGGTTTCGTACTCTGGCTCTGTACTCGGATAGCCATCGTAGCCCTACTGTACAAGCACTTCAGCACTTCGATATACCGACAGTCCACTTGGCACCGCTGAAGGGACTGCAGCACCGCCAAAATTTCTACGGAATCAAAAGCTTTCTCATAGTCCACATACGCCAGACAGTGGCAAATTGTACTCCTCTGACTTTTGTACAATCTGCCGAAGGGTATGTATGTGGTCTATGGTGCTAAAGCCTTTTCGGAAACCGACTTGTTCGGGAGGCTGGAAGTCGTCAAGTCTGCGCGCGAGACGATTCGTAATGACTCTCGAAAACAGCACGTAGACGCGGCTCAGAAGGGAAATCGGTCTGTAGTTCTTCAAGAGAGCGTTGTGGCCTTTCTTGAAGAACACGACCACCGCACTTTTGCTCCACGCCTCCCACCATGGAGGACGGAATTAAAGAGCTTCTGAAGGACTTCAAGTACCGGTTTTCCACCCGCTTTCAGAAGCTCCGCTGTAATTCCATCCTCGCCTGGGGCCTTGCCGTTTTTAAGGTGCTGGAGAGCCATTCTAATCTCGCTCAGACTGACGTCCGGGATATCATCGGAATAATGTCGGATAAGACTCACTCTTGGATCGTTACTCACACTCGCGTGTGGCTCCAACGATGACGTGTACAGCTGCCCATAGAACCTCTCAATGTCACTCAAAATCTCAGGTGCCCCGGAAACGATGCTGCCACACTCTGTCTTTAGCTTTGACAGTTGGCTCTTTCTGGCAGACAGATCTCTGGCAAACACTTTGGAGCCTTGGTTCCGCTCGATCGCTTCTTCAATATGAGCTGTATTGAAATTGCGTAAGTCCCGCCGCATGCATTTGGAGATCTGTCTGTTCATCTGCCTGTATGCTGTCAAATCTGTTGAAGAATGTAGCTTCATCTCCCGTCTAACAGCCATGAGATTAAGAGTGTGATCGGAGAGTTTTTGTGTTCTTCTGCGGCGGGTCTTGCAGAACTTAGCTCCGACCGCATGGATAGTTTCCACGAGCTTGTCATTCATATCGTCCACTTCATTACAGTCTTCTAGGCACTGAAAACGGTTTTGTAACTCGAGCTGAAAGGTTTCGGGACTTTGGATTAGAGCACGACGGGGACGGAGCGTTGACTTCATTAGACGAGACCTCTCCAACTTAACGTTTAGGTTCAGTGTGCCTCTAACCATTCGGTGATCGCTGCCGGTTTTCACCCTCGCGATCACTGAGACATCACTGAACAGTTGTCGTCTGGTCGTCATAATGAAGTCAATCTCATTTTTTGTCGAACCGCCGGGGCTCGACCAGGTCCACTTCCTGTGGGGCCGCTTCTGGAAGAAAGAGTTCATCATAAAGAGTCCCTCTTTCTCCATGAAGTCAGCCAGCTGCTGGCCCCTTGGGTTCCGTTGCCCTATTCCAAATTTCCCTACTTTCAGCTCACCATTCTCTCTTGTGCCTAGTTTTGCATTGAAGTCTCCCATTAACACCGTATATTGGGTTTTGGAGGAATGCATGGCTCTAGAGATATCCTCATACATTTCCTCCACCTCCTCATCGGGGTGTGCCGAGGTTGGTGCGTAAACCTGTATGACCTTCAGCGAATACCGTTTAGTGATTCTGAGTATAAGGTACGCAACCCTCGTCGACACACTCTCGATCTTTACAACGTTGTTAACGAGAGACTTGTGGACGATAAATCCGACCCCTAGTCAGCTGATTGTAATTCTACTGCTGGTTTTATGTTTAAGTATTTTCATAATTTTTTTTTATGGAATTATCGATTCATTTAGCGGTACTAACATGATGGAGCGTGAATAAAGTTAATAAAACGTTTTGAAAAGAAGATTTTTTTTTTCATCGGGATCGAATTTCTTTCTAACCCATCAAGGTATCGTTAGCACCATCGTCTGTCTTCGTTTTCGGGAGCGTTTCACTAATACCCGGTATATATATTATCGTCACTACGTTGCTAGCGATAGCTTTTGCTAGCAACACAAATTTTAACAGTTCTTTGCGGTGAAAAATACACCTAGTATTTAAACTTGGCACATAATTAGCACCTAAAAAGCCCCTAATTTTAGGTTATTCTAAATATAAAATTCCTGACTGCGTTGCTGACGAGACACAGCTAATTTCTAAACAGTCATTTACTACAATAATATTATCTACTTGTAGAGTAAATTTATAAAAATGTATTTCATTCTACTGTCAAATCCCAACACTACCAATACCAGCTGAAGCGCTTGTGACCTCATAAGCGGGCGCTTTAAGTCGTCGATGGCATGCGCGGAACATAACAATATGTCATAGATAGTAAAGGTCGATTTAATTATCTATTTTTATTTTGCGATTTATACGAGTAACAAATAAACAAAAACGATGACAAAAATTGATAAAATGTTTAGGCACATGTCGTGGTTGGTAATACGTAGCTACAGATACCCAGAGACGTGACGAAATATATAAGACAAAATATATTAAGTTTGACAGAAATGGAATACAATAAATAATAATAGCTCCAGGCCGACTTGCAGCTACAGTAGCTAATGTCAACGACCAGCCAACTACGCAGTGCACAGGTGCGCAAACAATAAGTGCTTCAGCCGAGCCGGGGTTCGAATCCGAAAACTCAGGGACATCACTGCCACTGTGCCACAGAAGCATTCGGTAAAATAAACTGTGGCTGCTCTTATATAGTGTTCCTATTATTACAGTTGCCTAAGTACAATATTTGCCCCTGTTATGTATGGTTAAAATAAAGTGAGGTATTTTTATTTCTAACTAGCTGTTCCCCGCGACTTCGTTCGCGTGTTAGGGTTTTTATGTTTCTGCGCGGAACCCTGATTCTCTTTCTAAAATAAAAGTAGCCTATGTTACTCCTTATGAAATCAGCTATCTGCCAGTGAAAGTCCCGTCAAAATCGGTCCAGCCGTTTCGGAGATTACCCGGAACAAACAGACAGACAGACAGACAAAAATTTTAAAAATTGTATTTTAGTTATAGGTATCGTATTTACTTTCATATGCATTTAGTAAAAAACTGTAATTTTGATATTACAAACAGACACTTCAATTTTATTTATTTGTATAGATATAATAATCTTAATATTAATTTTACTTTTTCACTTATTTTTTTTTTCGGTATCTGTTAAATCTACTTCATTACCGTGCACTTGTTGTCCAAAATTTAAAATATTTTATGAAATAACGTGATTTTAAATATAACGCATTTCTTGATGAATTAGTTGAGAGAAATAAAAGCTTCTTTTGTCATTATCCTGGAAGTTGCTACAATCTGAACACGTAGGTTTATTCATCTCAGCTGTCTCCATCTGAGGACTCTTCGTTTTCTCAATACCCTCACTTTGAATACCTTGGATATTTTTGCTAACAGTTTCTGCCAATTTTGGGTCATAGCTGCATTCTATTTGTGTGAAATCGTTTGACAAAGGTCTTGGTCTTGGATGCTTCAAATCTGTAAAAACGACATCTTATTTTTGAATATTAAGATTTTAAGAGGAGGCCTATGACAGAGGCACACTGAACCGGGACTACCGACATTTGCATAAACATAGTTGCATTTACATAAACTAGATTTTCGGAAATAAAAGGCTATTTATTATTATAACGTTGTATCTTTCATTTAGGAAATGAAGCGTTCATGGCAAAACAAAAATTTCCTTTTAGATATAACAATGAGTTGGGATTTATTTTATCCAAAGTAAAAGAAAAGATAGGGCGGGCATACACTAACTTTCGCTAATCAATTTCTTCCAAAACTTGTTACCTATAAGGTCATGCATCATATGCGCACAAGGCTTGATGCCACCACCTTTAAAAATTAATGAGTAGGTTTAATTTTAAAGTTTAAAAAATAAAAGAAAATAGTTTTTTATTTAAGATAATTTTATCACCTATTTTCACAAAACAAAAATAACGATTCAAAACTTACCTCTATATTTGTTGTCCATTTCCAATCTACAGAAGTCTTGCTAAGTTGATACACGACCGCTATTTAGTGCCGAACTAGGTCGCTATAATTCTCTTTCAATCTACCTACATCATTTACTTTTTGGTGAGTAGACAAACATCACTACGGGACGCATAAAAACGTCACTGGCGTCCGGTACATAATTTTAATACTTTGGTTTTTGGGCATTCATTTTAAATGTCTATGCAATTGATTAGATAGTTTTCCCTACTTTCTCTGGTAAATATATCTTCAGCGCAGAACTATTGTGTCAAAAATAAACTCTAATGAACGTACTCATAAAATTTTTTTCAATGGTAATCAAACAGCATTTTTAGACATTTTATCACGTTTTGATGCGTCGTTGGAGGTCAATGGGTTACCTACCCAAAGTTAGCACTTTCAAATCTTACCCCCACCCTCTGCCCCCATACTATGAAGTGCGATTGGCCTTAGACCTGGAAACATAGTTTGTATGATGTGAAGGTATGCAATGAGGTTGAAATATTCTGCTAACTGTTGAATTGAGTCAGGAACAATCATATTACACACACTGGGCTATTAATGCCCACATAGAACAAGGAGCAAAAAATAAATCACAGTAAAAACATGCAGATATTTTTTTAAAGATAAAAACATGTGTCCTTTTTCTAAAGTCTGAAAAACTTAAAAGTTGACCCGAACCTTACTATGCCCCAATTAGTTAAAATAATTATATAAATGAGTGTAATTAAAATATTTTAGTGTCAATTAAATACAGTTTTTTTTTCTTTTCAGACTTCTCGGTACTTTCTGGAAATGTGCGAGAATTGGTGAAAGAAAATCACCTTATGTCGCAGCTTGCTGCGTAATAATGGCTTTTTCTATACTATTTTTAACTTAATAGTTTTAATCTAACAATTACATGTAATGAATTGTACAATAAATGTTTTTTTTATATTTCATTGTTTTTTTTTTACTTAAAGGACCAAATCATGAGCACAAACTGAAAGGTTATGCCACCTAGAAATAAAAGTCTATTTTTACACTATTTTTAAACTAAATCGTACATCCTTACTTTTAATATAATTCCCAAAAGTATCAACAGTGCAGTGGGACCATCGAACTAAGTCACCATGACAATGCAGTACAGCACTAGTTTGCACAGAATACTATGCACATCTGACACTCGACATTTTAAATTCAAAAATGTGTATCTCACTCCACCCGCCATATTCTTCTGACTAGGCGATTAACCTTGAGTTTTTTTTAATTTTGAATTAAAAAAAGTAAGCCTGTCGCTTAAGTCAGTGTTGTTATAAGTTAAGTGTGTTTAATGAAATGCTTTCCTGAGACATGGAGGATTTTCGCGATGTTTTGTTGCACCTATAAGCACATGGTAAATGAGCACTAAAAATGCAATTTTGGCCGCGAAAAAAAGGGGAGATCTCCCACCGGGCAAGGTGTTCATCCAGTGGAGCGGCCAACGCTTCGTGTGTTAGAGCAAAGCTGCACAGTTCCTACTTGGAAACTTTGAAAGCGTGATTTAGGCTTTGATGCGATTTGCTTGTCGACATCACCGCCACATCACCCCCTGCTTGTCAAACAACAATTTCATTCATGCCTATGAGGAACGAGGATCAATCCCAGTCTACCAAAGAGTATAGTAACAGTAGGCTCGCATAGTTAGGTTAGGTTAGTAGAAATTCATAGCGCGAGCTTAGCCCCTTAACTACCACATCTTTATAGTCTATACCGTACTTAATGATAAGTAGTAGCCCTTAAACAACCGAACACCAACCGTGATGTATAAGGGTGTTTCGCGCATTTCGTGCAAATTCCACGACATTTCTAAATGGCTAATTTATTGTCGAATTACTTCGTTTCTTTTTATAATATCTGTAATATATATATAATACTTAAACTTTTAGTGGTTTCTACCTTTCGTGTATAGATAAAAATGAAATTACTATCATATCAATAATCGGAATGATACGGTAATGAGAACGTCAAGGATGGGAATGATATTGAGTCGTTAAGTGAAGGGATAAGGATGTGAAGGTAATGAAAATAAACAGAAGGCAATGATATAATAAAATATGCATTTTTAATATTTAATTAACGTAATTGCTGTACTAAAATTATTTTTTAAATAGATATTTAAGGTTCATATTATTTAACATAGTCAATAACATCATTTCTCCTTGCCTTTATTAGAAATTAAGTCATGTTTCTTTATTTATATTAACCATAATCTTTGGAAATACGAAATCAACAATCAAAAGATTTTTTAGCAAAAAATAAAAATCAGGCTTAAACAAAACTAAACTTATATTTCTAAATATGCTGATAAACCTGAGAATACTAGTGAATGTTATATTACACATAAATTAATGAGCATTTGCTACTTTAACTGACGAGTGTTCCCTAGCATTATCAACGAAATGTTCGTACCGACATTTGTCTTCATACGTTGTTCAATTTGACAAAATTTAAAAGCTGTGAATGCTGACTTTTACAAGTGAATGTTTAGGTTTATCAACACATTTATCTTTAAAATAAAAAATAAAAAATTTTCTGATCTATTTGTCGCAAAAGTCAATCAGTCTTTTTTCTGTTCACTTTCGTCTTTATTTTCTTTGGTGTTCTGTTCTATATTTCTATCCTTAAACATAATGAATTTCTCAAAATTTGTTTGATAAGTATTATTTTGTTTTTTTATTTTAGCAAGATTCTCCTTATCAATATAAAACTTTCTATTTGCCCAATCAGTCACATTTATATCCGATAATATTTTGACTTTCTGCGAATACGGTCTGTTTGACGATTGATCTTTGAAACTAATCGGTTGATCAGATTGAGTAACTGAAAAACCTGTGTTGCTTATTTCTTGGATAATATCTGGTGTTGTATTCTCATCGAGAAAACTCTGAAATTGGTTAATATTGACGTTTTCGTAGGATGGAATGTTATAATGCCCAATATGTTTACCGTGACTGCAAATAACTTTATTGCCACACTGAAAACAACTTAGTTTTCTTAAACTTATTTTAGAGCACCCAAATGACCAAAGAGCTTGGTGCACCATCATTGTACCTTTAGCTGCTTTTAAGACTGTTGGAAAACTTCTTGCTTCAATGTCATTTCTCGTTACAATGCGAATGTCAATCTTCACTCTAGGTCTAAGACAGGCTAAGAATGATTCTAATGAGTCCACGTCACCGCCAAAGCGGACTACTTGATCTGCTGTTCGTTTGAGAACAGCACCAACTCCGTCTGGCGCCCCTTTGCCATGTCCAGCTTCTAAGTAGTTCCAGGTCACAGATTTCAGTTGTGGAAAATCACGGTACAGTTGGCTGATCATATAAAAATAAAGCGATTTCGATATTGGCTGGTTGGACTATCGGAAATAAAGTGTATTGTATCAATTTGGGTCGAAATCTCCATCACATACCCAATGGTCGGTATCAAATGTGCCCAAATAGCCGCAGCATCGTGTTGGGTGCATTCACTTACAGTGCAAAAGCTGTATTGTTTTTGAATTCCAACTTCTGGGTCTATCAAGTAGATAACACATGTGTGCAGTGATATTTGCATTCTACTACCACCAAAGTGAAAACTCTGGATTTCTTCGTTATATTTAACGCAGTAGTTTTCGCTGAAGTCGACGTGAATCACTACTTCTTGCGGAGTAAGATTATTCTTAAGCTCTTTAATATTTCTATATTGAATCAAAATATTTGTGCAGTGTTTCATGTAGGTTATAAGAGTATTTTCTAATTGAAAAATAATGTTTCGTGGAAAATCATAAAATGTTTCTTTTTTTGTTACTAATTTTGTTTTCTCCTCATTTTTTACATAATATTTTACAGAGCAATTACTCCACTGATAATATTTAATTTTTTTGTCATTATGGAATTCGGCGTAATCTAAATTTTTCAATTGACATTTTTCACATGTTCGATTCAAACAATTTTCATCGTAAATGTTGCAACATAAGCTTTCTAAAACACCTGTCCCGTTAGATTCTTTTAGTATTTTATTTGTGTTAAGGCATTTTATCAACAAGTCTACATTAATATGAACTTTGCAAGCACACGTATTCCTACTGGACTCTTTTGGAAATAAAACCCCAAAATGGACGATATTTACAAAAAGTTTGATACGTTACTTTGACATTAGAATTATTCGTAAACTTTTTGTATAGATTAGACAATGTGTCCGTTAAGTATCTTTTCTGCTTCCTTATTTGGTTTTTAGTTATATATTCTTTTTTATCAGCTGCAATTCTAGTCATCTCGTCATCGTCAAAAAACTCCAAAATTAGTTGCTCTTTCAAGCTTTCACTTTTGGCTATTTTATTTTCTTTTTTATTTCTTACTGTGAATATTTTTGTTTGTGTCAAGAGCTTATATTTTTTAAACTTTTCTTTTTCGGTCATAACCACACTAGAAAACTCTTTCTTATCTTTTTTCCTCAAGCACTTGTACCCTTCACCAACACTTCTTGAAAGTATTTCACCAAATATTAGTCTCTTTTTAATTTCTTCACGCTTTTTTGTATCTACATTTTCTACTAATTGTTCTACTTTTTCTTCAGTCGATATGTTCTCGTTTTGTTTCTTATTTTTCATTACTCTATACAACACTTTTCTAATGGCATCTTTCTGTTTCCTTGTTTTTTCTATTTCTTGTTTCAAAATGCCTATTTCTTTTTTATGTAGGTAACGAACCTTTCTCAGAAGAACATCTTTCTTTAGGCACCCTTGACAAGAATTACTATTACCGAAATCCAAACGATTTAGAGATGAATTAGGTTTGGGGCTTGGAGCTGGTCGAGTGAGAGGATCTTGTTCAGCTGGGAGTACTTCAGTGTCACTATTTGGTGGAGAATTATCTAATAACAACTGTTGAATAGCTTTCTCTTTTTTTTTCTTTCATAATGGCGTTTTGAATTAACTCTCCATTTCTTCCTCTGAACTCTCAATTGCCTAGGTGTCATATCTTTTGCACTACTTATTTTTTTCTGTTCTTTTCTTTTAAGGTATCTTGCTCTTTCTTTTGCCTTCAGGTCTGCATACTTTTCAGGATCTTCCTTAATTTCTGCATACTTTCTTTGTTTCTGTAATCGGTCGCGCTCTCGTTTCTGCTCTAATGTTTGTTTGGCTTTCTTTGGCATTATTAATTCTTAGTAATCTGTAACAACACATAATATAATGTCATAATATCAAGCTCATCCTTAACTTACATTTTATAAAACGTATACTATGTATACGTATAAACAAACAAAGCTACATCACGAAACAAAGTAAAAACAATTCATTATTTATTTTATTATACATTAAAGTATTGTTATTACTGTATTGTAGTAGTATTATTGTGGAAAGAAAATTTCAACCACGGGTGGAACTAGAACCCGCGACGACAAGGTTTGCAAAGTGAAAATGCACAGTAAAAAAAAATAATAAATTGACATAAAAATATTCTAATTGCCATCGTTTTGACCTCATTATCATCGATATAAAAAACGACGGTAAACGAAGGCAGTGAGGAAGAAGGTAATGAGGTTTTAACCTTCATCCAATTTTTTTCCTAAAAATATCAATAGTACGAATCCCATGCTTATCCTAATTTACGAATATATAAAATAGAATTGATAATGAATTACATATTAAACAAAATCATTAATACTCACTTAATAATAATGACGATAGAAAAGAGGATCGTTCCAAAATAATCACCTCCTGCGATACTTTACACGTAAATATTTTTTTTCCACGAAGAAGCGTGAACCTTCTACGATGTTTGCTGGCTGACTGAGACACCCGCCTAAGGGTATTAGTGTTCTGTGCTGAGACATGTGCGGGGCGTAGTATGGCGGTATTGCAACATTCAAGGCCATACG